CCGCTTTTGGCTATTGTGGCGACTTTGTGGGCAGATGTGTGTGAGCATGTGCAAGTGGCACTAGTAGGTTAGCATACTGGCGAGTTACAGGTGCACAATCCCATATCACTTGGGTATATAGGAGGTAAGTGTTATATGTAGATTCAACACCCTTCTATGACACAACGCGTTTTAAAGCCGTGATGACCGTGAACCTATCAGAACTCCAGAGTTATGCGTGCTTAACCTGGAGTAGTACCAAAATGGGTGACCCCCTAGGAACTCTTTGGTCTGAGTGAACCAGAAGCGGATAATATTGTGTCTGGGTAGGGTGAGGGTTGTTACAAATGGTATCAGAGCCTGACCCAACTGGAAGTGTGGTCAACGAGGACGTTGGGGTCCAAAGGGAGTGATTATGGTAACCTTATAGGCGGGTGTGTGTGAGCGTGTGCAAGTAGCACCAGTAGGTTACCACACTGGCAAGCTACAAGTGCATAATCACATATCGCCTGGGTGTAGAGGGGGTAAGTGTTATATGTAGATTCAACATTCTTCTATGACATAACGCGTTTTAAAATCGTGATGGCCGTGAACCCACCAAAACTCCAGAGTTAAGTGTATTTAACTTGGAGTAGTACCAAAATGGGTGACCCCATAGAAACTCTCTTGTCTAGGTGAACCAAAAACGGATAATATTGTGTTTGGATAGGGTGAGAATTGTTATAAATGATCATTTAAATATCTTCATAATCATGAATCCTTATTAATTAACCCAATAAGGCTTCATCCAAACCCAAGAGCTCATCCATTGGTCTAGCTTCCCTTAAGCCCAATCCAATTAACTTAAATAAATAAAACAATTAAATTAAATCTATTAATTACAAATAATTCACAATAAAATTACACAAGTATAAATACATACATAGTCAAATAAACAACTCAAATATAGCCAAACAACAATATCTTCTTCTTCTTATTGTTTTATTATTTTTACAAGCTCATCACGACCACCTTGAAGGGATTCCATTACTATTAGTCCTTCCATATCATATTAATTGTCCGTATTGGATTCTAGAAAATTTTAAGAGAATATGCAATTAATTCACTTTAAAATTATTAATTTGTCCTTTTAAGTTTAAAAATGTATATTACTCTGTAGAAAGATTTTTTTAAACTTCAAAAATAATAATGAAAAGATAGCATTTCTTTTGCTTGACTTTAAAATGAAAGAACTAATTTGGGACATCCCAAAAAGAAAAACCGGACTACCAAGTTGTAATATGTGTTGTTATACTAAGAATGATATCCTAAATCATGTTATTACAAAACAAAACAAATCCAGCCTAACATCTTCTCCTTGCTCCCGAGCAAATGTCAGTGTCCTCATCCTAACAAATATTGTACTGACTTTTGTGATGGGCCTATAATATGAATAAATATTGAATGTGCCGGACACACCAAATTATATGTACATCTACCTAATAAAATATAATATATTATCTACACAGAATATTATAACAATTGAACTATATTCAACCATTACCTAATTATAATAAATAAATTACAATCATAATTATTATGTTTGTGTGGGTGTGAGAGTGACAGAGGGATATCTGATAAGTTTGTTCATGAATTAAGATCAGAGGAAAGATAGCATGATTACCAAGATTGTTAATTCTAAAGATCTCTGTGGGCTAAGCAAATTCTTAGGTCTACCTAATTATTCTCACACAAAGAAACAAATCTGAAGATATGGCAAGGGAATTTTATGTATTGGGTAGCAGGAAGGAGGATTCTGTCGTGGTGGAATTCTGTGTTTGCGCCATCACAACACAATACACATTTACAAACAGCAATGTAAAGTCATTGCATGACAGATGTCAAGTTGTTGGCATGTTGCGTTTGCACGGGAAGAGAAAATCAGGATTCTAGGTATGTAGGTTAGTGCATGCACATGTTGTAGGTTCGCGCAACGCAACTAAATCGTGTTTTGAAAACGTACAAGTTACAACGAAGAGTTTTTATTTTTATTTATTTATTTTTTTGAACGGATAATTTGCCATGGCAGAAGATATATTATGATGATATGTTTAAGTGAAATCATGCGGCCCTGAAAAACAACCGAAGGAGAATAATAAAGGGATTATTACGTATAAATAGGGTTAATAATTCATACTTATTATTTAATGGAATCAAAGTCTCATAATTTCGAAAAAATAAAGTTGACAAAAATACTGACATGGATATGAAAAAATACTATTAATCCTTACTGAGGTACCACTGTTAAGCACATAGGTACCACTTTTTGTGCACGAAAATACCATTTTTTGTGCATTAAGTATCATTTTTATTCACATAGGTACTACTTTTTATACATCAAGTACGAGTTTTAAAAATACAAAAGTGGTACCTGCATGCACAAAAAGTGATACCTTAGTAGAGATAAATTGTTTTGCCATGTCTTCATTTTTTTGAAATTATGAGACTTTAACTCCATCAAATGATAAATATGAGTCATTAGAACCATTTATATGTAATAATTCCAATAATGAATATATAACTGTGCTATACAAATATAAAATTTTCACGTTACTCCTATTATATACAATTTTGGTTCAAGATAACAAGTCGAAGAATTAAAATTTTGGTTCAATTATTGAATCGAAGGGTCTAGGTTCAAAGAGAGTGACCAGTTTGGGGTCAATCGAAAGAGTAGAAATTTCAGGTTCTTTGGTTAGTTCGTAAAGAACTTTCCATTGAATTCTCCAAAGCAAAAGCTCCAGCCAAAACGAAAGGATGCAAATGCTACATCTGCAATGAAAAAGGCCACATTGAGACACACATATTTAAGTGGATTGTTAATGACAAGGAAATTGCTGAATGGCAAAAAATTTCGAGCAATTATGTATTATTCCAAGTGAAACTCAAATTTAACCTAAACATAATCTATTATATGACTGTTTTATAAAATTATAGTTATTATTATTATTATTATTATTAATTTTATTATTATTATTATTTTGGGACTAAGAAAGATCTTCAAAATCAACCATACGGATTGGCCCAGTGGAAAAGACGTCCCAGAGTCTTACAAAGGTTCAAGTCTAAAGTTCGATTTCTTTTTGAGGCTACGACTGTGGACATAATCTGAGTCTTACCCGATCCGTATGGAAGGTCATCTTATACAGGTCTTATGAATTAGTCGAGGCAAAATTCCGAACACCTTTATTATTAAAAAAAAAAGAGAAGAAAGATATCAAAATCATGTTTTGGAATAGAGAAACCAAATACAGCCAAACATGTTCACCAGCTAATGAGAGATCAAATGATGAGAAAGATATGATAACATGCCCAGAGATCTTTGTATCACAAGCTACACAATAACATTCGATTCAATATGATTAGTGAATGTTGAATCATCTAAGTTGTCATATTCCTGCAAAATTTTTGTTTTATTTTCTTTTACCAATAAAGATATCCAAAATCATTTAGGAAAAAAAACAAGATATCCAAAATCAGGTTTTGGAATAAAGAAACAATTGCAACCAAGCATCTTCTCCTTGCAACCAAACAAATGTCTATCTCCTCCAGTACTATTATATCAATTGAACTATATTTAACCATTTATTGCCAATTATTTTTGGATCCAAATGAATAAAAAATGAAATGATAAAGAGAAATATGGCAACATGTGTATAGATGTTCTGTCTCAGAAACTACACGATAACATTAGGATCTTCATTCAATACGATTTGCGAGTTTCGAACCCTTCTACGTTGTCCTATTCTCATAAAATCCTACACCTCCCTACAGTATTCAAAAGTCACAAAAATTCCAATCACATGGATAAGATCATCAACAGTTTTGCTTTGTTTTGTTTGACACAATAAAATCCACCACATGGAAGCCCATATGTTCTATCAATTAAACATTGTATTCTATTAATTTGGAAGACATCTCTAGTTTCATAGTTCTATATGGTGTTTCATTTATTGTTCTAGGTGATGTGGAAAAAGTTTTAGTATTTGGAAAAATATTAGGTATTATGAAAATATCGATAATGTAGTACTCAATAATTAATTAATTTCTATCATAGTATTCAAGAAATTGTTAATTTAAAGCTGGGATTTGGAAGAGGTTTTTTTTATAAGGAGATTCTCAGCTTAAGACTCTTCAAAATAATGTGAGGGGTCCAAGCAAAGTTAAGTTCAACCTCGATCTCTTCCGGTGCACCGATACTGACACTTTTTTGTTTTTTTGAATTTTAAAGGGACTGAATTAAATTAAAATAAAGTAGGAATTTACAATGTGGGTCACCGATACCGATACCGATAATTTTTAGTGCAATGTAGATGGGTGGGATAAACCTATCATTAGGTATCATTTGTTATTGGGTTAATTTCAGCGATTTTAATTCACTAAAAAGTACATTGTACTGTACGAGAGAGGATGACTTTAACCATTCAATATGTTCCATAGATGAGAGATGCAAACTTATGACTAAGGCTTGCACGGGAGTAAATTATATTTTAATGTCATGATTGATGATACATACATATTTGGATCCAATTTCAAATCCATATCGAACCCATATTAACCATGATCCAAATAGAGTAAAATATACTTAAACTGGGTCGGATTTTGAACAAAACTCCAATCTTTTGAAAAATTTCCCAAATTCATATGCAAACTCCATGATCTATCCAACAAGTATCTACCTCCCATGTTTTTCATTTCCATATCAAAATTAAAGTTCAAATTGGTTGTGGAGTCAAAACCCACTCCATTTCAAGCCCTAGTCACTGACAAGTTTAACATTGATTTAGGACAATAGTTTCAATATTATATCAGTGGTTGAGAAAGATTGTACTAACTATTTACTATTGTGTTTATTGGTTAATAAAGTCGATCCTTTTTTTACCAGGAAAAAACAAAAAGAAAAAGGGCCAAAGGGAGAGAGAGAGAGAGAATAAATGAAGGGTATAAATTATAAAATGTTAAAGAACAATAAAAACATATAGTAAAAGAAAAGCAAAAAAAAAATGATTCTTGTACACACAAGAACAACAATACAAGTCATACATGAATAAAAGGCGAAAGTAGCCTCAATGTCTTGGGCTAAAAAAAGCCAGAAGGAAAGTGCGAGGAAAGAGGAGAGAGGGGTCAACAAATCAACAATGGCAACTACTACAATTGCCAATCCCCTCTCTCCAATTTCATTTTTACCTACACTTCGAAATAACACTACTAAAACGTGCATTGCCTTCAATTATACTATTATACTAGGTATTGCTTAGTCGTGAAAGCAAAAGAGAGAACAATAATCAAAGTAAGAGCCACCCTCGACTCTTCTCCATCCATCCATCCATATGTCTCTCTCTCCTCCTTTCTTTTTAATGTTTAGGTCCCGCAGTGCCGTGGACCAAAAATGCATACGGTGAAGCCAAAGTCAGCCTGCAAACATTCAAGACCGCGTGTTAGTAGTATTCACCACAATCTATGATATTAAAAAATATCTAAACTTATCAAGACTCTGACAACCAATTGGTTAGTGTAGCAGACCTTCACACTCAAGTCTATCTCGATAATTATAACATAATTTATGAAATTAAGGTAAGAATGGTAAAGAGGGTAGGGTAGGAAATACTATTATAAGGACCCGTTTTTAAAAGAGAAATAAATGATCGAAGTAGGAAATGAATATAAGAAGCAACTTGTTTAAAATATGTTAATGTGATTTCCTGTAGTTAGGCTACCTAACCTATTGAGTTATGTTTGTAGGGCAAATATGTCATTTGCCACCAAATTTTCTAATGATTCAACTCATTGCTGACAGTCTGACATGAAACCTCTGTTCCAAGTACTTGTGACAAGTGAAAAACGTGTAACATGTGTTTTGAGTAGCCAAGTATGATAAAAGAAGAGACAGGCTCGCTGAATAAAGAAACTTCCTAGGAAAATTCAGAATTATTTTTTAGAAAAAAAATAAGGCTTTTGTACCGGTCAAATAAATCAAACGTGTCACGCGGATTGTATGATTTGATAAGATTTGGACCGTCTATTGTATAGGACAGTACAAAAGATCGGAATACTACAGAGTATAGAGTATTTCCCCAAATCATCTCGCCAAAAATTGAAAAATAAATAAATAAAGATTTATGATATTATTGTACATTGTTTATAGATGGCAAGGATGCGATGAATTTGGTAAAATTTTATTATGTCCAGTTTAAAAATTTGTCATATCAATTTCGTTAATTCCGTCCTTACTTTAGAACGAATTTGTAATTAGTATACCATTCTCGCTCCAATTTCAATAGACAAAGGACCAATTCCATTCCACGGATTTCGTTTAATTGTAGGACGGGACCGGGTTATGTCGCTTTTATTATTCAGTAGAAAAAAAAAAAATTAACCCAATATACAAAAACTGAACTGATAAATAAGCTTGTCAAGCTTTTAAATTACTAAGTAATGAATATTAATATATTAATTGAAACTTCGAGTAAAGTAATGAGGGTCTTAAAAATATTAATTATATATTTTACATATTAATAAAAATTTTAAAGTTACATATATAATTGGGCCGGGTCAAGATGAGTTTTTTCATTAAATCCGTCTCCATCCCAAACCTATTTCGATTTTTTTTAATTTATTTTTTTTATCATACTTATCCCAAACCCATTTAGAGAGCTACCAAATCCACTTCATTAGGGACGGAGCGGGGCAAGGCAAGGCAGAGCGAAAACCGTCCGGTCAGAGGTTATTGCCTCCCTTATTTTGTCATGATATCATTTTTACTCATCCTAGGTTTTGTCGGGGACAACACGATCTACATGAATCTCCAAGAAGCCCCATGAAAATCCAAACTTGACTCTTAACCCAGACTTAAGTTATTTATCGTTATTTATAAGTAAATAAATAAAGATAAAATAAATAATAAATAAATAAAAACGAAGAGAAATGTACAACAGAGGAAAATAAATTCCATCAAGTGCATATGGGATATGCCACTACCAAATACAATTAACTCCCGCGCAGACTAATTTGGACTTAAAATGCAGCCAAATGCCGTGTCTAGCTCTAAAATTTTTGGTTCGTAGGAAGCAACTACGAACATTCAAAGTTTAATCTAAATACTATTTTTTAAGTTCAACAACTTTGAATGGTATTATGATTCTTTTGGCAAGTCCATGTCCATAAGAAATGAATAGAATAATTCAAAACTAGTACGGCCGCCGAGTAATAATAATAAAATAATAATAAAGAAGTAGGCATTGTTCATGTGTCTCAATTACTTAAATCAACCATATAGATACAGAGAGACGTATAATTCTAGATAGGACAATTGGAAACATTATTGAGGCCTCCACGATGAAAAAGACTAACACACTAACAAACAATTATATTGGCATTTCTTGTTTGGGCCAATTTTGTAACAATTTTCCTTTATCCAGTCCACAATGAATTTTTATTTTTTATTTTTATTTTTATTTTTTTAATATAAGTTCAAAATTTCAAAATTTCAAAACACCAATTTTGTTCCTCTACAATGCATATATGCAAAATAGAGAAACACATATATTCCATTACACTAATAGAAATGAGCATTTAGAGGTGGTTAATTTAACTCGTTAAAGAGAAAAAGAATACCTTAGATCTTATTTATGAAAGTAAAGAATGACGTAATCATAATAATATTATTCCTCTCTTACATGTATAGTTCCAAAATTTCAATATGAACTATTTCTGTATACTACTCATCCCACAAACATATACTCAATTCTCGTTTCTCTTTTAATAATTATCAAATCAATCATGATACTCAAGTATATTAATTAGATTTATTTGTTAGACTGAAATAATAAATACCATTAAAAACTTTAAAGTAAAACTTAATTCTCATTTTAATCCATGAATAACCTTAAAAAAATTTAATTGTGTCGCTTTGACAAATTAAACTAACAAGTGGATTCAAAATATAATTTTTTGGGTAAAATTTTTCCTCAGTCCTAAAATAAAATAAATGTCTCTTTGAGAAGGGACAAAGCGAGTATCAAAAGCAAATTTTGAATGCCGGAAAAGTAGAGCCTAGTACTAAAACCCCTGATTCCTCACCGTCCAAGCAATTCTTTCAAGAAAGTAAAATAAAAGAGGACACGCGGCGAAAAGAACACGTTTTTTGAATCACACATAAACATTTAAACAAAAGTACGTTTTGAATTACGCATTAAGATAAAGAATAGAGATTAGAGTACTATTTAGGAGGTCAAGTCTGTTATTACCTCTCTTTGCGCTTCTCTAAGAAGCTCTGTAATGACTTCCTCCTAGCAATTGGTAGATCTGCACAAAACCCATTTTCCTTCTTAATTTACAGAACACAATATACCACTTATATAATATATATATATATATATATGAAAAAAAATACAACTAAAAAAGAAAGGAAAAATAAAAAAACACTGACCTCCATTGTTAAGTGTCTCCATAAGTTTCGAATCTGATGATTCAACAGCTTTCGAGACTCCTTTCTCAGCAAGTTTCAAGATATTCTCAGCCTAAACATTCACAAACAACTTTTCATTAAAATTTCTAATACATTCCAAAAGGCACTAATTTTTTTTTTTTTTTGAAAAAGATATAAAGGAAAGATTAATAAGAAACAAACCTTGTTTGGAGGGACATCAAAAACAGCAACGGTTCCATTGTAGAAAATGGTCAGAGGAGTGCCTTCAGAACAAGAATTTGGCCTAAAAACCAACAAATACATTTCATTATTTTTACACACACACACACATATATATATATATATATATATATATATATATATATATATATATATATATATATAATTTTCAGAAAGCTGACCCAAACAAACAGACTCTAAGCTTTTGAAATTTGAAATGTGCGAGTACCTGAAGACAGGAGTATAAACAGGCAAAGCAGGAAAGAGGGTCCGATCATCTTTCGGAGACGACGGAACCGAAAACGACGATTTCCCAACCAAGCTCTGATTCACAGACCCAGACTCAATAACAGTCTTGAGAAACTCAGGATTCAACTTCGAAATCACACCCTGAATATCTGCATATACACCACATTAGTTAGATATAAAAATTGTATGTATACATATATAAGAGAAACAGAAATGTTATTTGTTGAATGCATAGTGGTACATATATATATATATATATATATACGAACCACGAAAGCTTCGTCGGCGATGAAGGAGCTTATCCTGAGCCATAGATTTGGGAGTGGTCTGTTTCTCCATCCCAAAGAAATCAAGTTCCACCGTTGATCTTGACATTTGGGTTTTATGAGATTTTTTTTTAATTGTTGGAAGTTTTGAAACAGAAAAGGGAGAGAGGGATGATCAGAGTTTGAGAGATTGATGGGAATATATATACACATATACGGAAAGATAATAAATGAAAGCACGAGAAAAATGAGACGAGGACTAATAGGAGTGTTGAAGACTTGTGTTGTTTGTTATTTGTGGGGTTGGGTTTGGGTTGTGTGGGGGGTGGGTTTTGATTTGATTTTTGATATGGGCACAATTCCAAATAGCACGTGGTGTCACATGTTAAAGAAGCAGCAGAGAAAGGACTTCACCTAAATTACGAAACTAGGCCCAGCCTGTGGACCCCATTCTCTATATGAGTCGTCGAGTGTTGTAGGGGTCAATATTTATTAATATTCCTACGCATGACTTGCGTGACTCGGTGTACTTGACCCAAAGTTATGGAATCATTCATTTATATATCCACCGTCTCTTGGCCCTTTCTCTCTCTGACTCATTCCTGCCTTGTGACCACAACTACACAAATATTCCGTGAAATGATATAAATTAAAAGTTGGTTTTGTATTTGTAAATGGGAGGTGATATATACTATTCCCTCCTTCTCTTATTAATAATTCATTATATATATATATATATATATATATATATTTCAAATTAATTATTCTTTTTAAAAGGTCAAAATATCTTTTCTTTATATTTTCATCATTGTCCTTTATCTTCTTAAAAAATTTCAAACTTTGTAACTATATATATTTAAATTAAAAATAACAATTTGGTAATTTTAAAAAAGAACAATGCATTAATGCATGTCCCCTTAACAAGTTATAAAACCAAAAATGAACAATTAATAAGGAACGGAGGTAGTACACTCTATTTTTTAAAAAATAATAATAATAATAATAACATTTAATATGAGAATTTGATAGTTTACTTGATATCTGTAAATTTCATGGAATGCTATTAAAAAAAATAACATTTAATATGAGAATTTGATAGTTTACTTGATTACTGTAAATTTTATGGAATGCTATTAAGAGAATTCTTTCAAAATATGCAGAATTATTATGTCAGTTACTACACCTTGGTATATCCATCACATAGTTTCACCGATGATACGCGCCTTTAATGATCTATCGGTTAAACATAGAGAGCTTATTTTGTCACGAGGGATAGCGTCTAATATAGGGTCTCAGGCAAAAACAAACCCAAACTGGGACTATGTACAACAAAGCCTATAAGAAGTAAACGGAGGGAAAGCCTAGATCCAAAGCATAACTGATAACCACAATTAACGAATTGATTAAACGCTAATGGACGGTATAGTGCTCCATTTCGGTGAGCCATAGAAGTAACAATTCGTCGTAGTGGCTGGTGTAATTTCAGTCCAGTGGTCTCGGTGGAGGACGATAGCATGAAGACGAGAGGTTCCACTCACTCAGAATTTTTCTTGTTGATGGACAATCATGGAGGAACCCCAATTTCAAAATACAAGTAATGCTAGTGCAGATTGTAAGAACAACTCTTTGTGATGATTTCTTCCCTCTAAAGATTCTTTCATCACGCTCTTCCCATGTGTGGTAAACTACCGATGAGAAGCAGACTTTGCATAGTAGATTTGTAGTTGAATTCCTCTTCCATTGCAGGCTGATCCATTGGATTAGGTTCTCCCAATTTGTGATTGAGGTACATAATCGGCCTTTATCTTTGATGAATCTCTATATTGGTAAGACAAAACAACAATTGAAGAATAAAAGGTCATGTGATTATGATAGTGTTTGGCAAAGAGCATAGAGATTGTGATGATATGGGCCATTGATTTTCTATCCAATGTAAGGAACTTGGATTGGATTGCTAGCCATAAATTGAACTTCATATGAGGTATTGTGGGAGAATGCCATACCAGATTATGCTAGTGCACCTGAAGATGCAAGAAATTCATTTTCATTTTCTCTCTCTAGAACTCTTACACTTCAACAGAATCAACCAAAAAACCCCCCCATTCTATCCATTACTTCTCATATTTATAGATACTTACAAACACTATGGACTACTAGATCCGGGCCCGTTCCTCTGTGAGTTTTGGTCATCTTTGATGGGCTATTCGCGTTCGGCCCATATGGCAGCATTTCTCTATGGGCTGGACCCAGCTGCTCGGACCGGATGCCATGTTCGCGGGTCATATCCGGCCCATGTCACTTTTGGCCTCCTCAACTGCCCCCATAATTACTCCTTATTTAATAAGGGGGTAATTATCAAAGGCGTCTCATCATGATGTTGACGGCTCGAGAAACCCTTATGGGGGAATGGGCGGTCGGATCCGGAATCAATGTTCCGGGGTTCGATAAACTTCTCGCCTCCCTGACGCTTCGGCCCTCGGGTCCACTTCGCCTTTATAAGGCTCTAGAATGCCACTTCATGCCTTTTTACCGTCTCCATCTCTCTCCATCATCAGTCAAATCTCTCGCTCATCTTTTTAGAACAGTGCTAAATTTCATCCGGTGAAATTCTTCAAGAGTCATTCTTCCAGCGATCTTGCAGTGCTCTTTGCTGCTTTCTACCACAGAGGTTAGTCTTGTTCCTTTTTACTTTCGGCAGACTTCTTTTTACTCTTTTAGATCCTTCAATTGCTTCCACCATGGTTGTAGATCTAGATGTTCTTCGTATGAGACTTAGACTTCCTGACGACATCCAAGTTAGGGTTTGCCCTAGGGATGTTAATATTATGACCGGTGCCGGCCTTCTTCCCGGCGAGGTTTTATTTACTAACCTTCAACTGAATGTCATTAGGTTCCCTCTGCATCCTTTCTTTAACTATGTTTTCAATAGACTGGGGATATCCCCCCTGTAGGTAAACCCCAATTTCTTTAGAATCATATCCATTATGTTACTGCTGATTCGTGATAGAGGTTTGGATCTTGACCTCATAGATCTTCTTCTTTGCTATAAGGTCAGTAAGATCCGAACTGACGAGCCATTCTACCACCTCTACCCGATCGACAAGATGTCCATATGTACGGATACAATCAAATCTGAAAAAGGGTTGGAGGGATAACATTGTGGGTGTTAGTGGGGCCTGGTCTTCGCCGGCTGCAGAGGATTACCCAATCCCGAGCGCCTTTGGCGTCTGTTCTGTCTCCTTGTATAAGAAATTCAAATCTCATAAAAATGATTGTCCCTGCGAAACATGTGTTCCTCGCTTTTGTACTTTCTTATGTTGCTCCTTAGGCATACCTTGTGATGACTTGAGCTACAGTGTTTGCAGGGATAGGAGTAATTACTTGAAGAAATACGTTCTGAACGATATTCCTTCTTGCTCAGACCTCCTCACTTCAGACAACCTTCTAGCGCTCTCATCCCTCGGCTATACAATGAGCAGGCTTCAGATTCCTTCCTTTGGTAGGAGGAAAAATCCTCCCCCAGCCACTACTGCTGCTGGAGCAGCTTCCTCTCCTGCATCAGCCTCTTCTTCAGCCACCATCTCTGACACTATCCCGAGTACGGTGGCTATTAATCCTATTGTTAGCACCCCTGCTACCAACCCGAGCACATCTCCATAGATCACTACTACCCCTGCTGCCGCTGGGGGTGCTCGGGACAAAGAGCGAGGCGAAAGACCTCATCCTGACGGTGGAGTCAACCTCGAGGAGGAATCTCTTACAAGAAGGACCCGAGTCTCTCGGCCGAGCGCTCTCTTGCATCGCCCAGTCAGAGTTCCTGCCCCCTCCGGGCCTGTTGCAGCTGCTGCCTCTGCTTCTACTTCAGCTTCTGCCTCTGCTTCTATTCCTGTTTTACCACCATGGGCTCCTCGATATACCCGAACGGATGGGACGTTCGTGAAGCCGAACGACACCATGTTCAAGGATGGCCAGACCGCCATGGCGTATTATAGGAGCATGTGGACTCCAAAAGACCTTGAGGCGGCGAAGGGTCTGTCACAAAAGGATGTGTTCAGCCGCTTTCCCCAATCTGCCATGGGGGTGACTTTTATTTTCTAACTCATGAATCTTCTAATAATATTTGCTCTTGCCTTCGTCCGACCAGGCGATCGGTTTAACCAGTATTCATGCATATCTATGCAGACTTTGTTCGGTATGATGGCTATGTAGAAACAGGTGGAAATGGGGAACGCCAGGGCCCGTAAATTCTCTGATAGCCTGGATGTGGCTAATAAGGAAAACGACATTCTTCAGGATGAAAAAGATGCCCTCCAGCTTGAGAAGAGTGTCTGGCAGACTGAGTGCGATTCAATCAGAGATGAAAAGGCAGAGCTCCAGCGCCTTCTGGTTGACGAGCAGTCTGCTCGGATGGCATTTGAGAAAAGTGCTCTGGACGAGCGCAACGCTCTGATTGACACCATTAGCAGAGTGAATGGTGGAATGCTGGCTCTTCATGCTCGGTTCTCAAGAGTTAGAGCTTTTAGATATGTTTAGGGATTCCGAGATGGTTTCTCCGACCGAGTTCCGGCTGAGGGCCAGACCAGCTCAACTCCGGATGAAATTGATAAGGATCTAAGGATTGACCCTCTGGGGGTCTATGTTGACCCAGAATCCACCGAAGCCGAGCACATATTTGATGAGTGTCAGGAGATTGCTTCCTCCAGGATCACTACAGCTCCTTCTACTGTTCAGCCTCTAATCGCTCTTCCTTCGTCAACTGTGGTATCTCCCGTAGTCACTGCTGATGTTGGGCCCCAGCAGAACGACTCTGTTATTCATCTCGATTCCCCACCTCGTGAGGGTGAGATGGCTAACGGTAAAGAGGAGGTGGGTCAGCACAACCAGGAGGCTGTCGGTACTGAGGCAGCTAGCTAGGGCTCTTCCAGATACCTCGATTTCATACTCTTTTGTAGTTATGTGATTTGAATGCTTCACTTTTTGTAACCTCGAAGCTTATTATTAATGAGATGATAAAACTCTTTTTTCTCTTTTGTTTTTTTTTTTTTTTTTTTTTTTTTTTTTTGTGCTATGCTCTGTTCAAACCCACTTTCAATATTTTTTCATATTCACTTTGTCGTGTGCGTGAGTGCCTGGTGTTTGGCTTGAATGCCACTTGCCACTTGGCTTTGCTTTAGCAAGTGTCTGGCGTTCGGCTTATGGTGCCAGCTGCCACTTATCTTGCTTAAGTGCCTAGCGCTCGGCTAGAATGCCACTTGCTACTTGGCTTTTCATTTTTTAGCAAGTGTCTGGCATTCGGC